TCAGGTGGGTTTCTCCAGGAGAGTAATCATAACTCCCTCATTTTGTTTTTTTTTTAAGATATTCCTCTTGCTGATGAGCAAAGCTTAGGTTGCAAACTCCACAAGATCCTGACTGAAGTGCTGGTGGGAGGTGGTGGTAGACAGTAGTCCAGGCATTTTTTACAGGGCTCGCTATCCTTGCGAAGAACTGAGGATATGGAGGTGATGGTGCCCAGTGTATGTACCATTATTTGGAGCTTGTAATCCTTTTGATCCCAGTTGATGTTATTACTGGACAAGTCAGATCCCAGAATGAATTCTGGCTTGATAGCTTATATTTTCTTCTTCCATTAAGTGTTTTTTGACTGAAACACAAGCAACATAATACTGTAGATTTGGCTTTAGCAATAAACATAAGTTTATTATGCGGAAGAATGAAAGGAATAAACCAAACTATTTACATATGATACAGTTCAAAGATCCAAACTCTAAATTATGTTATCCTAAAATGTATATGAATTTCATACTTCTGCATCACGCCAACAAAATATATCTTTGTATTTTCATTATCTATCACATTATCTCAACACTTTCTATGTCACATTAATGGTAGTAACGTATTGATATTAAACAAAGTGAATTACACAACAACCATATTTTATATAAGTTCATGGACAGCACAACATTTGGTTAATAGTGGATAAAGTTCCAGCTAAACATTTTCAATTCCAGGCATATGAATGATTGATTTTTAAATTATAGTAAATTATATTAAAATATATAAAACTCATGCACTGTACATTACACAACGTAAACCAGGCCGAACACTAGCCACCATGGTAGGTAGGACTTGATACTACACTGTTGCCTACCACCAGGCTACTGTTACCGTTCACTTGACTGACATTGAGAGTCACTTGACCTTTCAGTTTCTTAGTTTCTACTGAGCCGCCGTGCTCCAGCGAATAACTGTAATGTTCAGTCCCATCACATGCACACGTGCTGGCTTCAACAAACTACCAACACACAACACAGCATACCATAGACAACTGTTAACTATATTCTTGCCACCACTTGTTCAAAGTGATTTTAACTCTTGATTTGTATTGAACGAGCTGATCTTCAGCTGGAGTGGTGATTGGAATTGGGTGCAGAGTAACATTTGACTTAGGGAGAGGGGAATTGACTCTGCTTCCTACACTGAAATCTGCTGGCTCTGTGTGTGTGTGCATATGCGTGCATGTGTATACATATCTCGGGGGACAAAATTGCATTTGTCAGTGATACCTATGTGGCTGACAGGAAGAATGGCTCTTAGATGAGTTGCAGAAGTTGTGCATGACATTCACAGAGTCATTTCCGAGTGATTTTTGTCAGCTTCAGGAGAGAAAGGATGAAATTTGCTGCGGGGACTGTTATGGCGCAATGGTAGCATCCCTACTTTGAAGCCAGGTGACTGGAGTCCAAGTCCTACCTTCTTCAGAGGTGTGTAATATCATCTAAGGTGTTTACAGAGCTTCACCTGTAGTTAGAAGCACTGCCTCCATTGTGTTGCAAAATTTCTGTCCCGTGTGTACCTTGACTGAGTTGAGCTTGAGTAGTAATCATTGCTGTGTAACTGAGAACTGCAGACAGCTAATTGGCATATGACTAACAACAGTAAAAACTAGGAAATATTGTCTTGCAAGAAAATTGCAGCAATAATCATGGGTGATTTCTAAGCAAATTGACTGGATTAATCAACTTGGCAAGGATAAGCTCAGGAGAATTTGTTGAATGTATTAGAAATAATTTCTTGAAGCAATATGTGGTGGAACTGAGCAGACAGGAGGCTATTCTGGATTTGCTATTGTGTAATGAGGTAGGATTAATTAAAAATCTCATGGTAAAGGTCATCTAGGGAGGAATGATCATAGCATGCTAGAATTTCAGATTCAGTTGGAGGGCGACAAACTGGACTCGTACACGAGCATTCTGAAGTTAAACAAAGATAATTTATGTAGGTATAAGGACAGATTTGGCCTTAGTGGACTGGGCAGGAAGACTAAAAGTTAGGACAGTTAAAGAGCAGTGCAGATGTTAAGGTGATAATTAATTGCTCCCAACTAAAATATATTCTAAAAAGGAAGAAAGATTCTAAGAAGGGGGGAAAATACATCCATGGCTAAGGGAGAAAATTAAAAATAATATAAAGACAAAAACTAAGGACTAACATATTGCAAAGAAAGTGGCAGGCTGGATGATTGGAAAACTTTTAAAGATCAAGAAAGGGTTGCTAAAAAGAGCAAAGGTAAATTATGAAAAAAAAGCCAGCGCAAGATATAAAAGCAGGTGGCAAAAGCCTCCATAAGTATATAAAAGTGAAGAGTGTTGCCAAAGTAAATGTTGGTCCCATTGTGGATAAGACTGGGGAGTTGATAGTGGGGAACACAGAAATGATGGAGTGAGTCAGTCAATGTTTTGCTACAGTTTTCACAACGGAGGACACTAGCACAATCCCAATAGCAATAGATAATACAGAGATTATAAAAAGAGAGGAATTTAGGACAATCGTCATCACTAGGGGAAAAAGTACTGAGCCAACTGTCGGGGTTGAAGACAAACAAGTCCTCAGGCCTGATGGCCCACATCCTAGGGCCTTAAGAGGTAGCAGAGATAGCGAATCCATTGGTTATAATATTCTAAAATTCTCTGGATGCAGGAAATGTCACATTGGTTTGGCAAAATGCTAATCTAATGCCCTTCTTCAAAAATGGAAGAAGGCAAAATGTAGGAAACTATAGACCAGTTAGTTTGATATGTCATTGGCAAATTGTTTGAATGCATTAAGGAAGTAATAACAGGACATTTGGATAGTCAAAATACAATCCATCAGAGACTACATGGTTTGATGAAGGCTAAATCATGTTTGGTTAATTTGCTATATTTGCAATGTGGATAATGGGGATGCTGTAGATTTAGTGTACCTGTTTTTCCAGAATGCATTTGATAAGATGCTGCACAAATGGGTAATACACAAATTAAGATCCCATGGTATTAGGGTAATTTATTAGCGTGGATAAGAGGTTCGACGAACAAACAGAAAACAAAGTCAAGCTAAATGGATCTTTTCCGATTGGTAAGGTGTACCTAGTAGGATGCCAGATTGTTCAGTCCATGGGCCTCGACTACTTAGAATCTATATTAATGACTTGGATACAGGAATGTAAAGTGGAATAACTCCAGGGGCTGGTATCCCATCACCGATTCACCCTTTTATCTACACGTGCATAGTACTTGACACTTGTCTGGCTCCCTCAGAGCCAGCTGTTGGAGTGAACAGAACCTCTAACGCTCTTGTTTATATCTGTCAGCCAGGGCTCCCTGATTGGACCAGATTAACGCCCCCAGTCAGGGAACTCCTATGAGATCCACCTGGCTGACCTCGTTACAATTACTACAGAAAGTACTGTCACCAAATTTGCATATGACACTAACAAAGGTGGGCACCTAAGTTGCAATGAAGAAATAAGAAATTTACAAATAGATGAAGATATTGGCCCAGATAAAGTTCAAGATGGATAAGTGTGAGATTATTCCTTTTGGTCTGAGGAATAGAAAGGCAACTTATTATCTAAATTGAGAGAACCTTTATGGTGCTTCAGTGCAGAGGGATCTGAGTGTCATCGGCCCTTGTGCATAAATTGCAGAAAACTAGTATGCAGGTAATAAGGAAGGCAAATGGAATTATGGCATTTATCGTTAAAGGATTGGAATAAGCAAGTAGGTAAGTGTTGCAGCAACTGTACAAGGCAGTAATGAGACCTCACGTGGAGTATTATGTACAATTTTGGCCCTCTGGCTTGAGGAGGGATGTAGTTGCATTGGAAGCAGTTCGAAGGGAGTTCACTAGATTGATTCCAGAGATGAGGAGTCAGTTCTAGGAAGAGCGATTGAGCAGTTTACGCCTACACTGGGCTGGAGTTTAGAAGAATGTGAGGAGATCTATTTGAGGTATGAGATGCTGAAAGGGGATTGATAAAGTAGACACAGAGAGGGTGTTCCTCATGTGGGGCGTTCTAAAATGAGAGATCATAGTTTTAGTATAATGGGTAGTAGATTTTAAATAGAGATGATGAAGAATTACTTCTGTCAAAGGGTTGTGAATCTGTAAAATTCACTACCCCAGAGAGTGATGGATGCCAGGATATTGAATAAATATAAGGAAGAGAAAGACAGACAGATTTTTAGTTAGCAATGGGTTGAAAGGTTAATGAAGGTGGAGTTGAAGCCAGGATGAGGTCAGCCATGATCGTATTAAATGGCAGAGCAGGTTCAAGTGTCTGAATTGCCTGCTCATTGTTCTTGCATTCTTTGGTAACCCTACTTCAGGAAAAACTCAATAAGTTGTGCAACGTAGAACATCTCCACAAAACACATCATGCATTTAAATAAAATTAGTTTGAGTTCCTAATTTAACAGAACCAGTAATGCGTCATCTTCGAATATTCAAGTAATTATGTTATAAAATGATAACATATTGCGCAGAAAATCCATTGACCAGTTCGTTGTTGCGTGTGTGTGATTTGGAGTTGTGCATTAGGACCACACAGAGATCCCCACGTGGTTGACGTGTGGAAATTGAAATTCCATGGGGCAACTGACCCATCTCTAGAAACCTCCAAAAGAGTCCCTAACTCCAGGTTAGAGTTGGAGATTTCAGAGGGCTCTGACTGACCTAAACTTAAACTTTTAGTTTTTTTTTGTGGATATCTATTAAAACCTACTTGAGCTCTTGGGTAACTGATAAACTGGACTCCAACTCTCTCCTTGCAAGCACTGTATCGGTCCCCCTACCACACACATCACCTTAACAAAGGGAGACCTGATTAAAAGGTAAATTTCAATTTCATTTGGGTGATTGGAATTTCTGGACCATGTTTTATGAACTGTGAACACAATTATAGGTGTTGTGGAGTAGAATTTTCCTTGGTTAAGACCTTCAGGAGTCAATTTCCTTTCTCTTGCTGTTTCATTTACAGGATTTAGATGCTTTTGATGCTGGGCTGCATGGAAGACACAGAGGGGAAATTGATGAGTTGTTGAGAGTGGCTGGTGAGCAACTCAGTGTAATTGAAAACTACGCTAATGATTTAAAACGCAATGGGAAACCTTATGAATCAATCCAAAAAAGGTAAGGACAATTACTTCAAGTTAAAAACTGAAATGTACTGAAGATCTTGTTGAATGATAGGAATATGAGTTGTTTTGCAGCCTTGTGGCCCACTCCGCTATGCACTTTGATCATGGTGGAGATTTTGCTTGGTTATGTGTTGCTCCAAACCTGTTAAAATGTTCACAGAAACCTCATTTTTGAATCTTGTGATGCATAATAGAAAACTTCATCCAGACAAAACAGAACTCAGAACTTATTGTGTGGAATTTTTCGATCTCTTGCAGGCTGTTTTGAGGGTGATGAAAGGGGTTGGGGATCATAAAATGCAGCGCGTGTGGTAACTGCTCACTCCTTACCTGTCTCCCATTTTAAGAGAGAAACTGGCATGACTGGGCCGATGATTATCGGACGTCCAATTGGCCAGCAGCATTCTAAGGCAAGAGTTCGTCCCAAAGTGGGGATGGAAATCTAACCTTTATGCAAATAAAGCCTCACTGGTCATCTGCCAACTCTTTGGGCAGTGAGACAGGAAATACATTGATGACTTAAAACTTTGAAGTTAGAAGGAAATAATTTGTGTTGCACTGATTAAAATAATCTGATACATTGTTTCAAAATGCAACATATCAGAATGTAGGTGTTTCATTTAGCACAAACTTCAGTAGCCCAAAACACTGTAATGAAACAAAATACTGATATTTAAATGAATGCCAAGCAACAGAAAGAGAAAACGTTCTGCTGTCATTTCAGAAAGAATGACCATTGACGTATTTCATTTCGTGAATCAAATCCTGCATCAAAATTAGATGATTTATTAGTATTAAAAAAGAAATTGCACTGGAAAGATTTCAATAAATACCGTGTTTTTAAGGAATAAAATAGTTCCAAACTCCTTATTGGTCCTCCTCTCTCTGTCCCTGCCCTTTTTTTGCCATTACTGGTAATGATTGTTACCTAATGGACTATTTTATAAGAACACCAGAAGTAGGAGGAGCCCCTTGAGCCTGCTCTGTCACTTAATCCTATCGTGGTTTATCTCATCTTGGCCTCAATTCCACTCTCCTGCTCATTCCCCATAAATCTTCAACCCTTACTAATTAAAAATCTGTCCATCTCCCCTTCTAAATTTATTCACTGTCCAGTGCCCACCACAGTATAGGTAGTGAATTCCACAGATTCACAACCCTTTTGAGAGAAGTAAATTGTCGTCTTTTCTGTTTTAAAGCAGCCGCTGCATGACCTAAACTATGAGCTCTCATCCTAGATTGCCCCACAGGGGGAACCATCTGCTCTGTCTGCTTTGTCAATTTTCTTTAGCATCTTCTATACCTCAAATAATCCCCTTTAGCATCCCATATAGCTCAGTAATGAATCTAGATGATAAAACTTTGAAATTCTGAAAGCTACTTCTTTGTAAAATTTTGGACCACTTACTGTAATGATAGAATCCAGATAGATTTTGAGGTCATCCTGCTTGATGCACAATATTAGGACAGTTTTACAGACCAAGACACAAGATTGATTTAACTGTACACAGTATAAAGAAAGATCATGGATGTCAACTTTTTGAAAATGGTTTTCCTTGGCTTGGGTCCAATATGTATTTTTGAATTAACACTAATTACCTTACTTCTGTTTCATGTTATGCTGCTACATCATATTGTTAAAACGTTTACTGACATTCTCGACTTTTCAGTCGATCGTATCCCATCCCTCTGAGTCTCTTTAAGATAAGGCATTCATTTTGGGAGAGATCCAATCTGACACACTTTGATACAACTTACCAAATTTTGTTTGGTAGGTCAAAGTTAAAAGTTCCAACAAAAAGCTTCTGAATGAAGATTTAATTCATATTTTACTTTCATTGCAAGTTCAGCTTTCCTTAATTGAACTTACTATTAAATTTAGTTGCCAGGATAAGACGACGTTGGATGACCTCAAGTTCCTGAAACATACTCTGATTTGAAATTAATTTGTGATTGACTATGGAAAGCCAACAATAATCAGAGTTAACAGAAAATAAACTAGGCCACACCATTGTATATTTACTTTTATGGTGTTGAAAGTTGATCAGGTTCATCAGATTCTGCATTGTGATAACATGATTATCTGTTGTTGCCCTGTTTGGGGCCAATTTTAACTCCCTTCACTTAATGAGCAACCGGTTAAGATGAGACCAAATCTACTTATCAGCCTGAGATCATGCCTTGGTGACATCTTGCATAATCTTTCAAGTCATCTGAGGCTCCTACTGCAGGTGAACAAGAGCCTAATTTAAATTTAACAGTCTCCTCTTGGTGACAGCATAATAACCAGACGACATGGAGATGAGTGAGATTTAAAAGAAAATTCAGCTGTGTTTTTTTTAGGGGGAAGTGTAACTAAGTAATCCTCAATCCTCTCCTGGTGTAGCCCTGCCAGACAGTCACTATTATCAACGTGTCATAATCCCAAACCAAGACCCCTTCCTGCTCCGTAATGTTTTATACCTAGACAGTAAAGGTGAAAATTTGAATCCATGAAGTAGCTAGAGAAGTTAAATCCACATAAGAACATTGATATGGGTAACGGAATTTCAAACCTAAGGGTGGAGGATCAATATGATAGTTTGTTGGTGCCCTCTTCAGCTATTCACTGATCAGTATTCACTATCTTTGAAACCCTTCTGCAGTGTGAATTACCATCGTAGTCAAATGCGTGCAATTTCAAAAGCAATCACTGAGCGAATCATTCACCGTACCAGGACATTAACACCCCAGAGACCCAGAAAGTCCTGGGATGAAGGGCTCTCAAGATCAACTAAAGAGCTGTTCGGTTGGCTACATCAACAGAAGGTAAGTCAAATTGCAGTATTAAAACATTTTGAAATAATTATACAATAATGAATAGATGAAGTGGCCTTTTTTATATTTAAGGTTTTAAATTAATATTGCTTTCCTCAGTTTTCTAACCTTGCATTACGCCATTAATCCCTTAAATTGTTGTGTTGTTTTTAAAAAGTGCACCAAGGATAATGAATAAATCGTAATAGATGTTAGAATGTATATTAGCTGATGTTTGTTTTTAAATTAGTTAGGTACAAATTTTCATTTTTCCCCCAAAATGAATATAATGGGAATGTCTGATGATATGCTATCACTTATTATAAAATGTTAGGCCATATTCATGTTCTAATCTGAATACAAAGTGGCTTGAATGGAAGATACTGGTCTTCGTTGAAGAGGAGATGGATTTCTCCTGCCTTTATTCTCCATGTATTATGACTAATAACTGACTCATTCAATTCATCCTTTATAAGATTTCCATCATGTCATTCTTTACTCCACTTTGAGTCCAAATGAGAAATGTCTGAGTGACAACTTGAGGGAATCTTGCATTGTGAAATATTATCATAATGCAATGTCTGTAGAATCTCAATTATTAATCGAGTAGAACTCAGTACATCATTGTTTACCGCTTCTGTCCTTGATTGACAGAGAGGTGTCATTAATCATTCCTGTTAATGTTGCTATGGTTATGTTTCGAGTATCATAGATGGTCTGACAACAAAAGAATTGCAGCTGCTTCCTGCATAATGTGCATTGATGTGGAGGATAAAATAACTAACGTCAATGATAATCAACACCAAATGAGACCTTAATTGCCGCATTGTCATAAACACACTGCCTGTGTAAGATTTCACACTTAAAAATTATTGACTTCGCTGTTTGCTCCCTGGTACCCTCTTACCGTATTCCTGCCCATGTTTTAACTGCTGCTTGTTGACTATTACCTGAGACGTTTTGGAAATGTTTTGTTGAATTAACAAGTTAGAGTAGTTGTCACTCTTGCAGCTGTGTCCTTATATCCAAATGTGCCTGCAGTTGGCAAATGTCACTTTATGCTGGAGGTTAGGGAACCATATTATACAAAATGCCAATAAGAAAAACCTGGATTAGGAACTCTTCAGTTGGTCAACTGTTTGGCATTTGTATCCACAAGTTGGATGCTCCCTTTGTTTAATATGCTGTCCGTTCTAGGTTTCCTTCTTTTCATCTATGTAGCTTCAGCGTCCTCTTACTCCAAGTATGATTGCCTTGGAATTGCAGGTAGTAATGTTATAAGTTTCTGATACCACTGCACTATCAACGTTCATCATTTTGTGCTTGTTATTCTAAATCCATCTACACAATGATTCTTCAGGTTTTTTTTAACCTTTTGAAAAACCAGAGTATATTTATTGGACTCTTGGGCAACTTAGATTGGTTTTACAGTGACTGGCTGGTTTAAGGGCAAACATCTGTCTGTAGACCTTTCTGTATTTGATTTTATTTTTAATGAAGAATGCCAAGGATAATGAATAATTTGTAATAGATGTTAGAATGGATATTAGCTGATGTTGGTGTTTAGATCAGTTAGATTTTTGGGCAGCATGGTGGCTCAGTGGTTAGCACTGCCACTTCACAGCACCAGGGACTCGTGTTCAATTCCAGCCTCAGGTGACTGTGTGGAGTTTACACATTCTCCCTGTGTCTGCATGGGTTTCCTTGGGTACTCTGGTTTTCTCCCACTGTCTAAAGATGTGCATGTTAAGTGGATTGTCCATGCTATAGTGCCCAGGGGTATGCAGGCTAGCTGATGTGGCCATGGGAAATGCAGAAGTATGGGGATACGGTAGGAAGGTGGGACTAGGTGGAATGCTCTTCGGAGGGTCAGTGTGGACTCAATGGGCTGAATGGTTTCCTTCTACACTGTAAGGATTCAATGATTAGATACAAATTAGACATTTTTCCCCAAAGTGAATATAATGGGAATGTCTGGTGATATGCTACCATTTACTATGAGGTGGTGGGCCATATTCATAATCTCATCTCAATGCAAAGTGGCTTGAGTGGAAGATTAAAGGGCCGGCATCTGTCTATAGACCTTAGTTGGTAAAGGAAAGTTAACCAGCTCTGCTCTTTACACGTAGAAAATGTCACCGGTACTGACTTCATGCTGAATCTTGTGAACTGTGTGATGAAACTGTGTCCACACTTGTTTTTGTTTCGTTCTGATACAATTTCTAATATTTGAGTCCTGTATTAAGGCAATACATCGGCCACATTAATTTTAAAATTTAAAAGCCATCTAAATCTCAATAAGAAGGGGGATAAAATGTCAATATTCCAATAAAGTTGTATTCCATTTTCCATACAGAGTTTGATGGATGTGCAAGAATGGGGAGTAGATGCAGCTTCAGTAGAATGTCAGATAAATGAGCAAAAGAATTACCATAGGAACCTAGAAGACTTTCGCTGGAAAATCGATAAAGCTAGAATGGAACAGGTAAGTAAACAAAGCCATTGTTGAGTATTTTGTACAAATGAGTAAATTTCATTACTGTAAATGAACAGATACATTTAAAAGAACGTTGTTATTGTACTTGGAACAGACATTCTGGAAGAATGACCATACTTCAATTGAATGAGTAGCTGTCTTGAATTTAAAATATTCCAAGATTAGAAAGGTATAGCGACTGAGCTTTTCTATTCCTGAAATGGGCATTGAGATCTGCAGTCTAAATAGATTAAAGATCTATCAGAAATCTTTACAGAATCATAAATTCATGGCCCATGTTTTCATGGCAGAGATGTTTTTTGTTAGATGAGCATTACCTGAAACTCCAATCATTTATAATTTTCAGTATTTGAGAAGAAGCATGATGTGTAGTTATAAACAGTCTTCAGAAGTGAGGTTGTTGGCTTGCTCGGCAAGCTGGCTGGTTATTGTACAGACATTTTGTCACCATGCTAGGTAACATCATCAGTGAGGCCTCCTATAAAGCGATGTTGTTCTATTCCTCTTGGAATTTATGTGATCCAGTCTGTTAAGTTAGGTTGTGTTATTTCTGGTTCTGTTCTGCATGGGTTCGTATAGGGGTCTAATTCCACATGTTTGTTAAATGTCCTAGTTAAAGTGATGGCCTTCATTGTCTGAGTGCACTGAGATGCGGGAAAGTTCGTTGTGTCGTTTTGCTGCTAGCTGGTGTTCATGTATCCTGATGGCTAGTTTCCTTTCGGTCTGGCCGATGTAATGTTTGTTGCAGTCATTGCAAGGTATCTTGTAAACTACATTGGTCCTGCATGTCGTGGGTATGGGGTCTTTGGTCCTTTTGAGTGTTTGTTGTAGTATGGTTGTGGGTTTGTGTGCTTCCAGGATTCCTAGTGGTCGTAGGTGTCTTGTTGTCAGTTCTGATATGTTCTTGATATAGGGTAGTGTGGCCTTTTGGCATTGTCTATCTAGTAGGCACCTGTGGATGAAGTTTTGGGATATTTGTTGTTAACAAAGACCTTGTATAGGTGCTCTTCCTCCTCCCTGCACAGTTCTGGTGTGTTGCAGTGAGTTGGGGCTTGTTTGAATAATGTCCCAACGTAACTTTGTTTTTGGACATTGGGGTGATTCAGCTATTTTCCACGCCAGTGTGTGTTGGTGAGTGGAGATTTGTACTTAATGCTGCGGGGCAGTACTTGGTTCCTGAGGCTTTCATGGAGAAAGTGGAGTTGTTCGTGGGTAGCGCTTAGTTGGTTGGTGAAGGTTTCCCATTGTTAGACTGTTTTGAGTGTGTTGCGCCCATCGGTATTTAAGGTTCTTGCGAAGATTTGTAGCTCAGGTTGTTGGCTTGCTCGTCGAGCTGGCTGGTTATCCTAGAGACATTTTGTCACCATGCTAGGTAACATCTCAGTGAACAATGAAGGCCATCAATTTAACTGGGATAACGTGACCATCCCGGCTCAAGCCAACCACAGACACGCTTGGGAATTGCTAAAGGCCTGGTTTTCAATCCGTAATGCAATCAACAAATGTGTGGAATTAGACCTCTTATACAAACCCATGCAGAACAAAACTGGAAATGATACAACCCAACTTAACAGACCAGATCATATAAATATCAAACGGAGTAGAACAACATCACTTCCTCTGAGCACACTGATGATGTTACCTAGTATGGTGTACAATAACCAGCCATCTCAGTGAGCAGGCCAACAACCTAATCCACAACCTGAGCTACAAATCTTTGCAAGAACCTTAAAGTCTTTAAAAGTATTAAGCTTATGTGGGAAGTGTTTATGAAGAACACGAAAGTGAATGAGAGGAGCGCATTTTAAAATTGAGCCTGAGAACAACACAGCTTCTTGGTCCAATGTAGTTCATGTTTTGTTGAGATCTACAGGCCCAGGAAGTGCCTTGCTATGAGCCATGTTGGATTGTTCCATTAAAGACAGTATAATTTCTTAACCAGCAGTGGAGCTGCCATGTAGTTATTGCCACATCCCAAAGTACAGCTTTTATTTTGCATTAGAAGAGGAAAAGAAGCCAGTGCTTGATTATAGCAGCAACCCAAGGCTGAGCCAGTTCAGAGCAGACAGCAAAGATGTGCAGTTGATGGTTTACTGAGTAATACAGTCAAGGAGATGACTTGCTGCAAGTGGTCTGTGTGTTATTTCTGAAATCTATTATTATGTTATAAAAATCACTACCTTAGTAAAAGCAATGCCTTGGAAAGTTTATTTGCAGGGTTGTGAAGACTGGACTTTTGTTATAGTCATCACTACATTTTTATTGCTGGTTGCCTACAGTTCTTTGAGATCAACCATAGAAATGACTATTTCAATAAGATTGCCTTAACTTTGCAAAATTAAAGATGCTAAATGGCATCCTGCCCTCTGTTGGTAATTTTTACAGTTTTATTTGAGCCTATCTTCACCCTTTAAGAGAGAATACTTATAAATAGATACGGAAGTGTCTTATTTTTCAGCAGTGGATTTTGCAGTAAAAAGAATGATTAGGTATTTAGCATTGAACTTGACCAATAATCATTTGTACATATCATAAATATTCTAATGTTCTGCAAAATTCATTTTCATTCACTTAGCCATACTTTTGTGCTTTGAAGTGTCTGTTGCATCAGACGACTGCAAGGCTAGCAATTGGTGTGCTGCTCAAATCGGATTCTTTTGCACTGGAAGTAAAACCAACTTAAATTGCTGATGTCAAGAATACAATGTGGCGTGCATTTCCAAACTGATTTTACAGTTCCACTGTGGCCTAATTTGTGGTCTGTTTGTCAATGTGTGGGCCTTCTTTATTCGTAAATGCACTAGGCACCTGTTACTCACTGCAAATATTACAACAAGGCACAATTTTTATTGAAATGCTGGGTTTTTGCTGGATCCATGCTGTCAGTTACGCATCTCCAAATCTTCAATCTCAAGTCTAGTCAGCATTGATTTTCAAAAGGGAAATCCTGCTCAACAAATCTAATGGAATTTATTAAGGAGTAATTAGTAGAATTGATAAGAGGGAGCCAGTCGATGTGATTTTCTTGGATTTTTGGAAGGTTTTCAAGTAAGGTCCTACAAATCAAATTAGCATGTAAAATTCAAGGAATTGGCAGTAGTGTGCAGACATGGATGGAGAACTGGTTGGCAGGCAGGAACCAAAGAATAGGAGTAGACTGGTCTTTTTTTCTCCAGTGGCAGGCAGTGACTAGTGGCATACTACAGCGATCAGCACTAGCTATTGATAACATGTGTTAATAATTTGGATAAGAGAAATAATTGTAATATTTCCAAGTTTTCAGAGGGGGCAAAGCTGGGTGGGCCAATAAACTTTGAGAAGGATGCAAAGATGCTTCAGTGTGATTTGGATAAGTTGGGTGAGTGGGCAAATGCATGGCAGGTGAAGTATAATGTGGGTAATAGCAAAAACAGGAAGGCATACTATTATCTGCATGGTGATGGATTGGGAAAGGGGTCAGTGCAAGAAGACCTAGGTGTCTTTGAATCCCAGTTACTGAAAATAAACAAGCAGGTGCAGCAGTTGGTGAAGAAAGTAAATAGCATGTTGGCCTTCATAGCAAGAAGATTTGAGTACAGGAAGTCTTACTGCAATTATGCAGGGCCCTGGTGAGACCACACCTGCAGTATTGGAAGCTTTGCGGAACACCTACGCTCGGTTCGCACTAAACTGCACCTCCCAGTCACGAACCATTTCAACTCCCCCTCCCATTCCTTAGACGACATGTCCATCCTGGGCCTCCTGCAGTGCCACAACGATGCCACCCGAAGGTTGCAGGAATAGCACCTCATATTTCGCTTGGGAACCTTGCAGCCCAATGGTATCAATGTGGATTTCACAAGCTTCAAAATCTTCCCTCCCCCTACTGCATCCCAAAACCAGCCCAGCTTGTCCCCACCTCCCTAACCTGTCCTTTCTCCCACCTATCCCCTCCTCCCACCTCAAGTCCCACCCCCATCTCCTACCTACTAGCCTCATCCTGCCCCCTTGACCTGTCCGTCCTCCGTGAACTGACCTATCCCCTCCCTAACTCCCCATCTACACTCACCTTTACTGGCTCC